GTCCGACAGACGTCAGAAGGCTATCGTCAGCGGGAAAAAAGTTCCGATTGGAAACTGGTGACCTCCGAGGTTCCGGAAGGATCACCCTTGGCTCCCTCCTTTTTTCACGGCTTGTTGACGATCTTCCGTGCGTCATTGAATCCGGTTGTCTTTTGCATGCCGATGACGTGAAAATATTCCGCAAAATTGCGTCCCCGGCTGAGGGGCTGCTGCTGCAGGATGATCTGGATCATCTGGAAGTGTGGTCGGTCAAATGAGGCTGACACTCAACCCTGCAAAATTTAAAACGTTCATGATGATCCTCAGACGTGCTCCCGTCCAGAACAAACATTATATCGACAGAATTGAGCTTGAACCATTGTGTAAAATCAGTGACCTTGGCGTAACGCTGGATACCAAACGAACCTCTTTGACATAGTCAGTAGGGGCAATCGAGCACTCGATCTCCCTATTCCGTCCTTCCAAGTCGGTTCTAACTGATCAAAATTCAACTGAAGCGCAGTGATGGCTGTGTATTTTGCAAAAGTGCGGTCGGTTTCAGAATATTTCAGCGTGGTTTGGACGGGCTGGCCAATGCCCACACAGTGCCGGTTGATTGAGTGCAGCACAAGTTTACTCTTTCTGAGAAGCGTCTTCCAAGGTAAACTGGACTCTCAAATCTTGCTGAGCCGTTTCCCCTTATTTGCGCCACCTTGGTCGACCCGCACCGCAGCTCTGCTCCTGTTCCTCGCGCTCGTGTGCAAGCAGTACAGAGCGGTCTGATTTGCAGACTGTCAGGCGTTGAGAACGCTTTATTAGCTAAGACCACTAGCGCGGATATCTTTCACAACAGTCTTGGGTTTTTAGATTTCAAGTGATCAAGTGTGTTTTAACCCGTAGTTTCTTCATTTAGCCTTAAATGTCATTGTGCTCATTTTACTGCGTACTGTGTATTTATTGTATTATGTTTTATCGACGTCGCCTCTGAGTAGAGTGCTGCTCTGTTCGCGGTAAAAGAAAATAAAGAAAATAAAGAAATACAGAAAGAAAGAGATACACGACAGGACAGCTGTCTAAATGCTCAAATTAAGGCCCTAAAGCGTTCAAGGTACATAACGTCCGCCCCCGTTAGTTTTTCGACTCCAAAGACAACGGAATTCCACCTTCCGGTAGCTTGCGGCTTTTGTTACAAGTTGACATATGCGGGATTTTTTTGGGGGGGAAGGTTTCGCAATCAGGGGGCGATTGCCAATCCTTTTGCCCCCTCCCCATTATGAAGGAACTGGCCGTGCCCCTGATTCCTGGAACAACTATATTTGGACGGTGAATACCATCGACAGCCGTCGGCGCTAGCTGCAGTACTTGCTAATTTAGCGGAACTCGTCGATAGTTGTTTTGACATGTGGCAGACAGCCGACCAGCGGTATAATAAGGCGGGGTAGTAGGAGACAACGATCAAGTCTGAACACGTCTTGTGTTCTAACTGTCCTAAACGCAACATGTTGACGGCCCAGAGATGTAAGACACATTTTCTTAGCCCGCGCCCGGTCGGGGTATCAGACAACAGCGCGCGGTCGGGGTATCAGACAACAGCGCCCGGCCGGGGTATCAGACAACAGCGCTCGGCCGGGGTATCAGACAACAGCGCCCGGCCGGGGTATCAGACAACAGCGCTCGGCCGGAGTATCAGACAACAGCGCTCGGCCGGGGTATCAGACAACAGCGCAAGTTGTCACATGCAGGTTTTTTGGGGGGGAGGGGGAGGTTTCACAATCAGGGGCGATTATCAATCCTTTCGCCCCCTCCCCATTATGAAGGAACTGGTCCGTGCCCCTGATTCCTGGAACAACGATGCATACCATCGACAGCCGTCGGCGCTAGCCGCAGTACTTGCTAATTTAGCGGAACTCGTTGATAGTTGTTTTGACATGTGGCAGACAGCCGACCAGCGGTATAATAAGCCGGGGTAGTAGGAGATAACGATCACGTCTGAACACGTCTTGTGTTTTAACTGTCCTAAACGCAACATGTTGACGGCCCGGAGATGTAACACACATTTTCTTAGCCCGCGCTCGGCCGGGGTATCAGACAACAGCGTCCGGCCAGGGTATCAGACAACAGCGCCCGGCCGGGGTATCAGACAACAGCGCTCGGCCGGGGTATCAGACAACAGCGCCCGGCCGGGGTATCAGACAACAGCGTTCGGTCGGGGTGTCAGACAACAGCGCCCGGCCCTGGAAGGTTAACTTCCCTCCCCTGGGATCCCCAATTTTCAAACCTTGTACCAGAAAAAGATACCCTTGTGAAGGTCTGGCCAAATACTGAAGATGGCAATCAAATGCTTGAACTTGGCCACTTGTGAGGTCACCAGAGGTCACGAAAGGTCAAGCACGGGTCGTTGAGATAGATGCAGTTAAAACATATGACGACATGACAAGATGGATATTGAAAGCACAGACATAACCGTTAAAACTGTGGGGAGTCTCTTCCAATCATCTCTGTTGCGCCACATGGGTCAGGTCGGATCAGGTCACCGTTCAAAATTGGTCTTCCAGTAGCCTACAAGAACGATGCCTTTCTGCGCAACGTTCCTTTGACTAAGTTTATTTTATTAGTTGCAGCTCTAGGAAAAGTATTCCAGACACAAACACTTACTTTAGGGTGACTTAGAGTTCATCTGAGGTCAACTTAGGTCAAATTTAGAAACCGCTCAAGTGGAAATAGTTTAAGTGCTAACCGGGTCCATGTGGTTAGCCTAATGCTTTTCTGCCATTAGAAATAGCGTATTGTGCATCTACAGGACTGTTCAAGACCGCATAGCTGTTGTCTATACTACACATAGGTTCTTCGACGCTTGGCAAGGTATTAATAACAAGCTAAGAACAAGTGCGTTGGTACATAACATAAGACGTCATCAGCTTTACAAGCACAATAATGAGATGGTTACACGCGTTGCACTCGTTCATCTAGCCTCTCCGCTATTGGCAACTAGGTCACTGATCCTGGATGACCCCATATGACCGCGCGTGTCCTCACACGTTGTAAGGATATGACAACATGCTTTCGGTGTATTATTCGAATTATGCGTCCAAAATTAACTAAGAAAACTGTCTGTTATGAGCTCACCATTATTTTTCCAGAACGTGCCATAGAGATGGGTCATGATTTGGGCCAATGTCATGTGCTCTGTGGTCATATGATGGTTGTACATGTACGTTCGCACACTTTTCCACGGGTACGAACTTAAAAACTGCACCAAAGTACACACAAATTTGCGTTATTTACGAAAAATGGAGCAATCCACCTAACTTCAGGTAATTGATCACACATTTTCGGAAAACCGGAGAATTTAAACTGTACGTATTACCAGGTTCTATTACTGCGATAAGTCTGAACAAAGGCAAACGACACCCAAAAAAGTTTTACGCGGTCAAAGTATTTTAAAGGTTGATCTGATCTCTTTAATCTGACCTTGGTCACTGATCTTGGTAGATTTAAGTATTCTATTGGCACAAAGGCTGCTGAATTCATAGAGGAAGAGGTACAGAAAATTGTGTGCTGCTACGAGCGTTCCTTTTTTGACCTGCGCTCAAAAAACCGTAGGGCGAAGTTGAGTTTCCCGGCCGGCCGCGAGTTAAGTGGGCGAAATGTTTCCATTTTGGGAGACATATCTTCCGGTGAAGTCACGTCCTCAGGTGGGGGATGTATCTTCAAGAGGAGGGCGTGTCTCCAGGTGGGAATGTATCTCCAGGTGAGAGAAGACACGTTCCCAAGTGAGGAAGGGCTTGCCTCCAGGTGGAGGGCGTGTCTCCAGGTGGGTGGGTGAGAGGGGGCGAGAGGCAGGTCACTAGGTGGGGGAAGGCGTGTCCCCAGATGGGGGGGGGGTCTCCACGTGGGGTCGTGTCTCCAGGTGGGAATGTGTCTCCTGGTGAGGGGGAGGTATGGAACATGTCCTCCAGTTGGAGGGCGTGTCCATGTGGATGGGGGGAGGGGCGGGTCTCTAGGTGGGGGAGGCCGTGTCCCAGATGTGGGCGCGTCCCCATATGGGTGAGGGGAGGAGAAGAGGGTCTTTAGGTGGGGGAGGGCGTGTCCTCGAATGGGGGCGTGTCTCCAGGTAAGTGAGGAGAGGGGTGAGTCTCTGGGTGGGGGAGGGGCGTGTCTCCAGGTGGGGAAGTGTCTCCTGGCAGGGGGGGGGGGGCGTGTATGTCCAGGTGGAAGGAGCGTGGAGGTGGAGGGCTTTCTCCAGGTGGGGGCGTGTCTCTAAGTGTGGGGACGTGTTTCCAGGTTGGGGACGTGTTTCCAGGAGTAGGGCGTGTCTCCAGCAGGAGAATGGGCGTCTCTCCAAAAGGAGACGTGTCTCCAGATGGGGGGGGGGCATGTCTCTATATGGAGACATGTCTCCAGGTGAGGGAAAGCATATCTCCAGATGGTAGGCATGTGTCTCCAGGTGAGATCGTGTCTCCAGGTGGGAGTCTCCAGGTGGGGCGTGTCTCCAGGTTGGGGAATGTCTCCGGGTGGAGGGCGAGTCCCCAGATGGAGGGCTTGTCTCTGGGTGGTGGCGTGCTCCAAGGGCGGGGGTAGGTCTCCAGATGGAAGGCATGTCTTCAGACTGTTGATACGGCCTCAGTGATGAGGGATTAGTCTCTCAGGGGAGGCAGATGAGTCTCGATAATTGGGAACCATGTCTCCAAATGGGAATTACATTTCTAGGGGTTCAAGATACATATCTAGGGGCGAAGCTGCGTTTCCAGATATCGGGAACACGTCCCCTCCACGGGGGAAACACGTTCCAATGGGGGGGGGGGGGGGGTACTTCTCGGGATTTAGAAGAAGCCTCCAGGTATGGGACATGTCGGAGACACAACTCATTCCACGTGTTCGCGCCTTCACGCGGGTTCACTTCTCCGGAGACTTGAAGACGCCTTCAAAAGACGGGGACACGCCTCCTAGTGGCGAGCAAGTCGCCAAGTGGAGGACGTGCTTCCAGCGCAGGGAAACCGTGTTGGAGCAAGGGACGCGTCTCAACGAGTGGGGAAGTTGCAAGTCTCCAGAGGCGGACACATCTCGAGAACTGAGGACTCGTCGCCAGCGGTGGGCGGCTTGATCGTGTGTCGCTGCCGACCGTTGGCCGGAGCCGGCGGCTGGAAGCCATCCGCTGGCGTCGCAGCCCACGGGCCGTCCCGCCGGCCACTTATTCCGATGAGCTGCCTGTGGAGTGGTGGGCTGGCGGTGGGCGTCGTCAGGCGACCCGCTCAGTACCCGGCTCGGCCGCCGCCGACCGAGGCCCGGCGGCCAGGCGGCTCGCGTACGGACGCCCCAGCAACGGTCGGCCAGATCCCAGCCGTGACAAATCTAATGAAGAGTTGTCGCCGTCCACCCAGCCGCCCGCCGGCCTCTATATTGGACCGAAGTGGCTCGCTTTATAACCTGTCAGACTTGGTCAAAAGCCAAAGCCCGCAACAGGGAATCGGTTTTAACTTGCTCGCTATTGTGAGCGTTACTAATTGTGGCCACCTTGAATTATCTAAGCAATTAACCAGCCCCCGGCTAGGGAATTGTCTTCCCTACGGTTTTTCGAGCACAGCTAAGAACTAAACGCTCGCAGCAACACCAAATTTGCAGTGCCTGTTATCCGGCAATTTGGCATCTTTCGTGCGAATTTGAAACTGTTATATGGCAATGTCAGTGACCAAGCTCAGGTCAAAGAGCTCATCCCCAAAACACTTAAACACGCATAATATTTTTGAAGGCCATTTGTCATTGTTCAAACATGCCATAGTAATAGAATAGCATAGGACCCACAGCTTGCATGGTTCAGATGTTTAGAAAAGATGAAGTCAGCGACCTGGGGCCAGGCAAATTATTATCGTTTTCCGTAAACGATGCAAATTTGTACATATTTTTGTGCAGTTTTCGTGTTTGCAGCTTAGGAAGAGTACTAACTATTGTATTTCGTAAATAATGCGAATTTAAATGCGTTTTTGTGAAGTTTTTGCGTTCGTATTACAGAAAAATGGTACTAACCCATATGCACAACCATCACATGACCACAGAAAACATGATATTGACCCAGATCATGACCTACCTGTATGTGTGCCTGTGGCAATACACATGCTGAGCTTAAAATAAGCAGTTGTTTTAAATATTTTTGGACGCAGAATTCGACTACTCCAGTGAAAACGTCTCGTGATATAATTTTGATACATAATGAGGTTAGAATAGGTCACGCACAGACATGCTAGGTCATATGAGTTCATCCAAGGTTAATGACATTTGTTGCCAAAGGCGTGAATGCAAACGGCATTTAAGATCTTGTTAAGATATACATGGGTTGGTATTTCGGCAACATGTCTTTATCGAAACAAGATGCCTTTTGCTATTGTTTCGATAAAGGCACGTCGCCAAATTATCAACCTACCTATATCTCCATTCTCACGTTTTTTCTTCGAGGAATAAAAATATTACTGTTGTTTTATCTATGTGAACGATGTTCCTCGCGAACGCACTTAACAACTCACGTAGTATTTCATTTGTTCATTAGTTTGTGATTTTCAACCACAAAGTAATGAATGAATGGAATTGATATATGCAAATAAATCAATATCTTTATAAGTCAACATACATGAACTAATAAATTAATGAACTAACAACGCTAAAAGTCCTGTTAGTAGTAACCTTAGTCACTACTAACAGGACATGACAGCGGATGCTGACGTTCAAAGGAAGGCGTCGCCAGACACCGCATCGCACCAGCTACCCGGATGCCAGCCAGGAGACGGATGCCCAGATGCCAGTCAGGAGACGGATGCCCAGATGCCAGTCAGGAGACGGATGCCCAGATGCCAGTCAGGAGACGGATGCCCAGATGCCAGTCAGGAGACGGATGCCCAGATGCCAGTCAGGAGACGGATGCCCAGATGCCGGTCAGGAGAGACGGATGCCCAGATGCAGTCAGGAGACGGATGCCCAGATGCCGGTCAGGAGACGGATGCCCAGATGCCAGTCAGGAGACGGATGCCCAGATGCCAGCCAGGAGACGGATGCCCAGATGCCAGTCAGGAGACGGATGCCCAGATGCCGGTCAGGAGACGGATGCCCAGATGCAGTCATGAGACGGATGCCCAGATGCCAGTCAGGAGACGGATGCCCAGATGCCAGTCAGGAGACGGATGCCCAGATGCCGGTCAGGAGACGGATGCCCAGATGCCAGTCATGAGACGGATGCCCAGATGCCAGTCAGGAGACGGATGCCCAGATGCCAGTCAGGAGACGGATGCCCAGATGCCGGTCAGGAGACGGATGCCCAGATGCCAGTCATGAGACGGATGCCCAGATGCCAGTCAGGAGACGGATGCCCGGATGCCAGTTTAGGCTGGCCTCCGAATGAGGGCGTCATGAGGAATGCCTTTAGGTGTTCTAGGCGCACTCAGAACGGCAAGGTGTCCTGAGGTGTTGATACACGTTTCAGGCACACTCGGAACCTAAACTCTGACAAAGATTCACTGAACGCTGGAATGCAGGTGAGCTCTGCTCGACCGCATGAAGACGGTTCACGTTACCGCCTTTGAGATTAAAAAACACATCGCTGCAACGTTCTACGTGCAAAAAAGGAGAAAGCAGGAACGCGATAGAAAAAACAGTCACCATCCGCCTTGGCGAACGTCCCATAGTTCTTTGCCTGGTCAATTTTGAGCTGTGTGATGCGATGACGCATCGGCCGAACGTGTGCTACTTCCACACCGAATGAATGGGAAGAACACTGGCTGGCGTCCGATGCGACCCATTGTGAGCACGCTCGCGCTGTTTCACGAGTCTGTCTTCCCATATCGGCCAGGTGAGTGTCCAGAGTCAGTGGTCGACCACCAAGCGTCGCGTGGTTAGAACGGTTGTCCCAAGCACGTTAGAGCTGGTTGAAACGCTCATGTTCCGACCACTATGCGAGGGCCGCACTACCGGGCCCGCGATCGGCTCAGACCATGGTCGCTTGACCCTGACCCTGGTCACCCCGGGTCAGGGTCAGGGTGTCACGCTGGTGCCAGGGACCAGACTCCGGAGCGGCACCACCGGGGAAGAGGTCGGCTCGAGATGGCTCCCAGCCCTCCGCCGCTCTCCCGGCCCCCGCCTCTCACACTCTCGCCACTCCGCCAGCGGCAGGCGGTGACTTGCTGGAACGGATTACTATTTACGAGATTGATGTTGCGATGGCGTGGTGTTCAATCCCTCCATCCCATGTATATGCAGTTATGTAACGGCTACTTCCAGCGATTGAAGCAGCCCAGGCAGCTCCGTGAAGGGGACCAGGCTCCACGATACAGTCATGTTAAGAATACAGAACGGCCATGTTCAGCGTCCGACAATATCCGTCAGAACGTGCTGCAGCTTTGCGTGAAAACCCAAACTATTGCAGTTCCTACTAGGCCTGTGAAAACGCGCACAATTAGGCAGTATTTTCCAAAAGCAACGTTGTCTATGTAGAGAAGCTAGAAATCGTGGCTACCATGTTTTTATGGGTCTTGTGTTAGCGAAAGTATCGTGGGTTCGAAAGCTGACCGCTAGTCTTCGTGTGATTAGGCATTTCAACCAAAAGTTGTGGCCTGGGTAGCGAAAGGAAGAAATATGCGACATATCAAACAAAGGGACTATATTGATTCCAAGGCAGATGGAACACGGACTTCGAGACAATATTGAGACCGAAAATTAGTTGAATACAAGACCAGCAGCCGTTTCCTGCCCACGAATGACAAGATCAAATTCAATCAGGTAATAAATATGATGCCATGGAAACAGGCTATGAGTAACACCTAGCTTTAACACCCGGCGGTGCACACGGACGCCACGAACTAAAACAAGGCTCAGATCAATAAAGGCTTTCCACATCGCCCTGCTGAATACTCTCTGGGAGCGCAGCAACAAGCCCATAAATATTCTGCGCGAAAATTCGATCACAATCCAGTACGACTGGTAGCAAATGTTAACACCACATATCGCATCAGCGCGTGCATATATAAACGAACACGGGCACGCGGCACCATGGCCCCAGCTCGGCTCAAACACCGCAAGCTAGAGCAGCATCCCCTCCGACTGGAAGCGCACGCCCGCCCGCCCCGCCGCGTCGGCTCGGTAAAGCTGAGGTCACTCGAAGGTGGTCCAGCGGCTGGACTTGGGCGGCAGCGGCGGCGGCGGCTGGCCGACAGCGGACGGCGGCCGCTCCAGCGCCAGCCGCTGGAAGTCGAGCCCGTACTCGAGCAGCAGCGCCTCGTTGGAGAGACGGCCGGGCGGCCGGCGCGGCGCCGCGCTCGGCTGAGACCGGCTGTCGCTCAGGGGGCGGCCGCGGCCGGCCAGTCGGCCCGGCTCGCAGTACGGGTACACCGGGTTGTGGACGGCGGCCGGCGCCGGCGCCGGGGCGCCGTTCAGCGCCGGCCGCGCGCCCTTCAGCGGGTCGAACAGGTCGTCCTCCGTGGAGTCCAGCCGTATCAAGTCCGCTTCTTTGGTCTGCGGCGAGGAGCAGCGACGCTCAGTGGAGGACCCGCCCCGCCCATCTTGACGGGTAGAAGCCTGGTCGCAGGAGCGGGCGGACCATCCGCCACGTGCAGATGGCATCGTAACCCCGATGACTGCACTCAATGTGAAACCTCAATACCTTGCGGTACCATGAACGGTTAGCTGTTACAGTCACGCACTTTAAAATAGATGTCCCGCACGAAAAAACCTGGTGGCACTGGAAATAGAAAATGGCAGCTATCACGTAACAAAGCAGCTATGTCAAATACCGAACACGGCCTAGAGTTCAACAACTGTCTTTTACACATCGGGTGTGTTTTCACCTGTCAAACAATACACATACTAAGTTACAACATGGGTTCTATTACGTGTACTAGTCACACACATTACTAATGAACGATGCAAGGAAAAACATGCAGACTTTTAAACATTTATGAACACATGGATGACAAAGCAATGAAACAAATACACCCGATTAAGTCGGAGATCCCCTGCAAAAGTCCACCCTCATTCTACAAGCCACCACGGATAATATCCATATCAGATGTAGTCATGCATGTGCAGAAGGAGATCTTGCGAACTCACTCGGAAAATACCAAGAACAGCTACACTCATCAACACCATTCATCGCACCCATGACCATCACTTCACACAGATGCAGCAGGCGAAGCATGACTAACATCGTTCACACGAAAGTCCAATACTGTATGCCTTACTTCTTGTCAACACAGAGCGACGTCAGCTCCATCATCTCCAACATGTCACTCGCGTGCAGCCAATACACTTGCCAGACACCGCAATGTGATATGCCGCAGCTGCTGCGTGCTACAGGAACTAACGCCGTGCGCCAGCATTGTGTTGCAATACTTTGCCGGCACCAGTGTCTCAATGCATCTGGCGCTTCGGCGGCGGCGCGCCCTCCAAAGCCTGAGCAGGCTCTGAGCGCAGGCAGGAGGCGGTGCTGGCGAAGCCGAGGCTGGAGGCGGCGGGACACCACTCTTCTACCATACCGGGACATGAGCTTGCAATGTATGCCGTCGCAACGCGTAACTTAACCATCGTCATCAGGCACCGCCATCACGGCTGGGCACAGTGGGACAGTGCGCTGTTTACGCGTGGTGGACAGGACGCAGTGTCGCAGTGCGATATGATAAGTGCGGGCACAGTGCGACATGATGGGCTGTTGCCCGCCCAGTGTGGTACCCGCGCGATCACGGTAGTGCTCGGGACAGAGTGTATGTTCATGGTTGGGATGAAATGGGCAGAGTACATGTCCAGGATGGGCTGTTTCCCGCCCAGCTACCCGTACGTGTACTGCGGTGCTCTGGGTCAGAGTGTAATAGGGTGGGCTGTTCCCCGCCCAGTGTGGTACCGCGCGGGTACGGCAGTACTCGGGGTCAGAGTGTAATAGGGTGGGCTGTTCCCCGCCCAGTGTGGTACCGCGCGGGTACGGCAGTACTCGGGGTCAGAGTGTACCAGGATGGGCTGTTCCCTGCCCAGTGTGGAGCCCGCGCGTGTACGGCAGGAGCCAGGATCAGCTCGAGAGACGCAGTGCCGGCGTGAGGCATGCCGCGCCGTCTGCAGGTTGAGGCCAGAGGCGGCCAGGTGGCGCGCGCGTCGCCGGTGACCGGTGGCTGGCGGGCGAGCATGCAGGGGCGGGCGCGCCGCCACACAGTACCTCGGCCGGGCGGCGCCGGTGGCGTGGGGGCGGGACGGGCGGCGGGGAGGCGGACGGCCGAAGTGCGGCCAGAACGGGCAGCGTCTCAAACACCGGCTGCGAATCGGCACCCGTCAGCGGCAGGCTCTGACGGGACAGACAGCGTCCCGGCAGGGCCGCGGCGCGCCCTCACGACGCCTGGGGTACCCGGACACGTCGGACCAGGGGACCGACGGCACGCCAAGGCAGGGGGCGGCACGGCCCGGACCTCGCGGCGCCTGGGGTACGTGGGGACATGTCGGACCACGCGACGGACGGCACGCCGGGGCAGGGGGTGGCACGACCCGGACCTCACGGTGCCTGGGGTATCCCAGACACAGTGGGCCGGGGATCCGGCGAGGTGAAACCCGGACTCAGACATATAGTATTCAAACAGGTGTAGGGGCACAGACCATCCAGTGCGATTATTCCACCCACCCATCACACGCCTCACCACGTAACTGACACGACACAATAACACGGGACGTTGCTCACCACGAGCGGATGCATTGACACCAATTCATCATACACCACAAAAGCCCGAGAAATGGGTCCACAATCTAACCTGCTATCGTAACAAGGTCAAGAAAAAAGCAGTGACGGCGCCAGCCCCCTGGAACAGCTCAGGCACTGAAACGGGCCACAGGCATCCGGGCAGATGCATGGCTACGGCCAGTGAATGCTGTCTTTCCAGGTGCTTCCAAGCTAATGGGGCTCTCAACTAACGTTCAGAACCGTAAAATCATACCCAGGTTGCTCGAATCAATGCCAAAAAACATTGACATGCGTCAGTTTGAAGTGAGGTTGGTGGTATGAAATAACTGGGCTGAAAAAGCCAAGGCCAAGCCAAAAGTTTGACGAAATGTTGGTCGTAACCAGGTCTTTTAATTAAAAACCCGCGACGCACGCCGTCACGCTCCTTGTATGGAACGACAGCGACTGCATTGGCCATAGTAGCACTCAGGGGTCACTGTGCAACCGGGACCCAAACCCGGGCCCCCAGGTGGACGTCAGACGCGCTACCGGCTTACGATCACACGCAGCTGCCAGCGGCTGGCGGCGCTCGGGGACACGTCGGCTGCGCAGCGGTCCGCCGCTAGCTCACCTCGTCGCCGCGGCCGAGCAGCACCTCGTCCACCTCGTCCAGCAGGCTGGGCCCGTCGGACGCCGGCCGCAGCTGGAAGAGCTCGCCGTCGGACGAGCCGGGCGCCGGCGGGTCGATCACGCGGTATTTGATCGGTCTGAAACGGCACCGCGGGGAGCCGGCGACATGGTCAGGTGATCGAGGGGTTACACGCAGGTGGGGTGGACTTGGCGGGTCACGTACAGTACAGACACGGGGGAGAGAGAGAGGGGGTGGGGTGAGGGGGTACGGCAGGTCACACAGCGGTGCAGTCAGTGACAGAATATGTCACATAAGCTCCGGGCGTCAGTAAAGATGCACCACAGCACGCCACATAAAGCTGCGAGGATCAGGGAAGACACAGCAGGTCACCCGTCAACACAAGGCTCAGGGCGTGGACAGCAGGTCACACACAGCTCTGAGCCCACGGGGAAACAAGCAGCTGCGCAAAAGCCGCACGAGGTAAGAAGTGTAAGCAGTGACACAGACTATACGGGTTAACCGCAGTCACGACACGTAAAGCACGGCAGCGGCACGTGAGGTTGTTTTTGACGCATCGCAATGCAAACTTCCTAAGCGATGATCACAAACGTACATGCTAAAACAGTGACCGTCCGATACAACTGCTCCATGCACGCTTCACATGAGGAGATCAAAGACGTTCATTGAAACACAATGTACCGATGAGTGAAATCACAGCCTAACTACGTGAGTGAAGTGCGCGAGAACCAGCTGGCTAAGAGCGTGAAGCCTGACCAGGCGGGTAAGCGTGTGCCAGTCTGCGTGTGGTATTGCCTAATGCGCACCAAGCTCACGCACAGTTCTCAGACAAGTCACGTCGAAGGGCAGGAACCAGAAGCGTTCGTTCTTTCTCCACCAACCCTGACTCACTGACTACAAACGGGCACCTGTATGCACGCGTGCCGACCCCGGCGGCTTCCGGCGTCTGCGAGCGTGCCGGGAGGCCACTCACTGTGCCGTGTGTGTGGCGGCGGCGGTGGCGGCGGCGGCCGCGGCGGCGGCGGCGCGGGCGGCCGGCCGCGCCGCCGCCGCGCCCGACTGGCGGCGGTACGTCACGGCGCTGGTGCCGCGCTGGATGCCGCGCCGAGGCCGAGAGGCGGTGGGCGAGCTGGGCGCCGAGCGCGGCTGCGGCTCGCCGTCCTCGTCGGCGGCGGCCAGGCGCACGCCCGCCGGCGCCGGCTGAATGTCCTTCAGCCGCGACCTGAGACAGGCGGCCGCCAGGTCAGGCCCGACGGCCGGCGCCGGTACACGACGGTGCCGATCACAGCTGCACGGCGCTGGACAGACGCCCGGTCGTGCCCAGGCGACATCGGCGCCGGTCATGTCAGAACGGCACAAGCCAGGCAACGAGGGACGGGCAGGCCGGCTCGACGTCACAGAAAGTCGTCCCTCAAATCGCCCAGAGCAGCCATGACACTCAACTTGCACCATCGCCCGCGCCTCTCCTTTCCAACAAGCCCGTGACAAGATTACGTAAGTTGTTCAGTGCATTAGCGAGGAGCATTATTCACATAGATCAGACAGCAGCATTACCCTTATTCCTCGAAGAAAACTAGGAGAATGAAGATATAGTTGGGCTGGCGTTTCGGCAACATGGAGAAACAATAGCAGAAGTGAATTAACTTCTGCTATTGTTTCGATAAAGGCATGTTGCCGAAATATCAAGCCAACTATATATCCACTCTCGTGGTTTTCTCCGAGGAATAAGGCTAATACTCCTGTCTGATTTCAGTCCATGACAAGGGCTGGACCCAACTCACGCCGAGACAGAGAACACCCATCGCCGCACCTGATGTCCTTGTAGGCCGAGCGAACCTTCAGCTTGCCCGTCTTGCCTGTCTCCTTGACGTTCTTCACGGCTGTCTTGATGGCCGGGTTGGTCTTGCTGCGCACTGTCTTGAAGAACGCACCGCCCTCCTTGCGCACGTTACTGGTCCACTCCTTGTACTGTTGCGCCAGCCGTGAGCTCGATTTGTCCATGTAAAGGCACGCCTCCAGCTCGAACTCGTCCGAGAAGCCCTGGCCCGAGTTGAGCATCTCGAGCCGTTCCGTGATAAACTGTGGCAGTAGACAGGTGCCTCAGCGTCAGGGCATGGGCACTCTCCCACGCCTCTCACGCGAGGAAGCCATCGGCATCCCCTCCCCCTCTCTGACTTACTGGGAAAGTACAGACCTGCAAAGCGGATGGTCCTGGTGGTGGTGCTGTTCAGGCCGTTTGGGATTTTTAAAGAGCGCCACACGCGTTGCAAAGCTTTGGAAAGCGTGACTCAATGGAACAGCACATGCAACAGAGCGGTGACTTCCCATCTGATATCTGATCTGCTGGGCTAGAGTGCCAACCGCGACTGAATTTTGATCCCATAGGTTTGAAAGAAGAGTTGCGCAAATAGATACAAATACGTATTTGATGCAACATAAATTCACAGCATGGTGGCCATGTGCGGCATCATGAGTTACAAACCAGCTTCGGTGCTCAACACACACATGGCTGAAAGTTCTGATACCTGGTGGAAGATCTGCAGGTGGAGCATTTTCTCCAAGAACGGCTGTATATGAGACGGCCGACTCCTGACGAACGCTTCCTTGTCGAACGTTATTTTGGCACAGTTCTGTGGAAACCTGCAACACACTGTCCGCAGTGAGTCCGGCGTCACCAACAGTGGCTGTGCGACATGCAGCCACACAACGGACAGTTTCGTGACTTCTGTTCTCGCCATTTGAGAGGAAAAGGCGAATTAGGACTAACCCCAGCCATTGTGGAATGAGCTGTTTTCGGCACGCTCCCAATGCTAATGAGGCACACACAGTATTTAAGGCTGCATGAAAAAAGTTAGTCTCGTCACGCATGACAACCATTGCTTCGTTGCATTATTTGTGGAGAAAACCCGCTGACCTGTTCAACGTTCAATGCCCTAGTCCGCTCGACAGCTCGCGCAACCCCCAACCCCGTCAGTCCACAAGGCCGGGTCCCTGCCCGTCCCTGGCGGCTCGCGCCCGCCTGCCGGTGCGCGCGTTGGACGGCAGAGGCCGCGCCGGCGCCGGCGGCCGACAGGTGGCGCGCCGGCGGGCGGTGTGCGCTGCACTGACCGCAGGGCGTCCCGGTAGCCGCCGATCAGCTGGACGAGCGCGCGCAGGAAGGAGCGCGCCACGCCGTCACCAGGCAGGTTGGCGGGGTTCTTGAGCTGGCGCTTCAGGGTGGACACCTGGCGGTCGAGGTGGACCGGTGAGGGGTCAGTTTATGTGGCGAACGACTGAGCCCAAGGATGGACACCTGGCGGCCGAGGTGGACCCGTGGGGGGTCGGTTCATGTGGCGAACGACTGAGCCCAAGGGTGGACACCTGGCGGTCGAGGTGGACCGGTGAGGGGTCAGTTCATGTGGCGAACAACTGAGCCCAAGGGTGGACACCTGGCGGTCGGGGTGGACCGGTGAGGGGTCAGTTCATGTGGCGAACAACTGAGCCCAAGGGTGGACACCTGGCGGTCGGGGTGGACCGGTGAGGGGTCAGTTCATGTGGCGAACAACTGAGCCCAAGGGTGGACACCTGGCGGTCGGGGTGGACCGGTGAGGGGTCAGTTCATGTGGCGAATGACTGAGTTCACGCGTGGCTGTCCAATCTGTGACGGGTGCGCAGTCGCACATGGCCCAGCATTCAGTCGTAATGGAGGACAACACAGGACCACAGCATTCTGATGGGTTCGCCGTGAGTTGGCGAGCGCACAAGAGTAGCGTCGCCTAGCCCGGAGTACGCAGCGCAGGAGAGAGCTGCGCCGACACCCCTCGGCGCCTACGCGAGCTGATCCTATTTCATCCCTCCACGTAGTCGTACCCTGCCCCTTCCGCGAGATGGACCACAGGTCACCCTCATTCCTCTGTGGTGCTGTGCCCTGCCCTCCCTACACTGACCGGGCTGGTAAATCAGCCCTCATCCGTTCGTACACCCGTGCCCTGGGGCCGGGCAGCGAGCGACCTGGCCACGCTCGCCGGCCGTCGCCGACTCACCACATCCGCAGGCAGCGTCTCCAGGTCGTTGAAGGGCGTGTCGATGCGGTTGTTGTCGGCGTCCAGGATGACGGCGTCGCCGATGTCGGCCAGCTTGGTGCGCTGCATGATGGCCGAGCTGGCGCCGATGACGAACGGCATCGGCGCCGACAGGTAGTCCATCAGGCTGGCTGGCAGGACCGGGATGAAGATGTGCTGCCACGACATCGGGTAGATGATGGCGTTCGCGGCCTGCGGCAGACCACGGCACTGCCGTCGCACGGTCGCTCAGACGCACAGACACGGACAGCACCAACACCGCGATGCACGACAGTGGCCTACCTGACTTCTGACGCGAAGAGACGCGGTCGTTGAATTATCTCTCGCCGTATATCGGGTGACCCTCCCCCCACGCATACTTTTCGTGATATTTCCTTCATTCACCCTCTAGTCACCCTTATTTTGCATGGCGAGGCAGAGGCAACGCCCGTGAACACAAATAGGTCGAGATGGGAACCCCAGCACAGAATATAATGTGTCAAACATAACTACAAGACAGGCTTGTTCCATAAAATCCAGGACACTTTCAAGCACCAGTTCCAATGTGAAAAGGCCCCCTCCCAAAGGACAATTCAGGGCTAGGTGAGCCACTTTGAGAAGCATGGGACCGTGGAGAGCCTCAATGCAGCCAGTGAAAACCGTCCCAGCCACTCAGGACGCCCCAGGAAGCGCACAGCCGAGCTGGTCGAGAGCGTGGGAGAGTCAGTTCAGCAGAGTCCGAAACACTCTGCATGGAAGCGGAGTCAGTCCCAGAGCATACCCCGTGAGACTTGCAGGAGAGTGCTAGCACAGGACACCCGGGCTTACCCGCATAAAATGCAGACGCAGCAGACCCTCACAGCATCAGACAAGGAGCAGAAAAAGATCAAACCTATTCTTCGGTCGGTTGGTAATGACATCATGAACAACTTTGTACTGCGCCTCAAGAAATGCACGAAGTTAAATGGAGGTCATCTCAAACACAGGGTCTAGAAGAAGAAAAGGCCAGACTCTTATGTTTTTATATGTTGTTTAAAATACAACCAACTAGTTGCGACCGCAGTTTCATTCAGTTCCGACAACAACAAAAAAAATAAGAAATGAAACCGATCGAAAGTTGGCGCATGTAAATTTTGCCACCCGCATAGCATGCTAATGTTCCTGCTGTCACCGAACCACGGCGGCCAGCCCAGCCAGAGGCAGCTTCCCGCCGCAGTACACGGTGTTGGCTCGATGTGTCAGGATTTCATAGCACGTTGAAAACTGGGGAGACTCTACTCCCAAGGAGTGGGTATTGAACCCAGAAATATCGACCAGAGCACAACAACGTGTACCGAACCCAGAAATATCGACCAGAGCACAACAACGTGTACCGAACCCAGAACAACAACGTGTACCGAATCCAGAAATATCGACCAGAGCACGTGTACCGAACCCAGAAATACCGACCAGAGCACAACAACGTGTACCGAACCCAGAAATATCGATCAGAGCACAACAACGTGTACCGAACTCAGACATATCGACCAGAGCACAACGTGTGCCGAACCCAGAAATATCGACCAGAGCATAATGTGTACCGAACCCAGAAATATCGACCACAGCACAACGTGTACCGAACCCAGACATATCGATCAGAGCACAACAACGTGTGCCGAACTCAGACGTATCGACCAGACCACAACAATGTGTACCGAACCCAGACATATCGATCAGAGCACAACAACGTGTACCGAACTCAGACGTATCGACCAGACCACAACAACGTGTACCGGACCCAACATATCGATCAGAGCACAACAACGTGTACCGAACTCAGACGTATCGACCAGACCACAACAACGTGTACCGGACCCAGACATATCGATCAGAGCACAACAACGTGTACCGAACTCAGACGTATCGACCAGACCACAACACTGCCCGCTAGTTCATCTTTCCCAGCGACGTTCCTCTCCAGCCGGCCCACCCACCTGTACGCAGGCGCTGAGTCGGGAAAGTTTGCGCGACGTCACCACAATGCGCCGCTCGTACAGCATGGAGGCGAACATCACCATCATGTTGTTGGAGTCCACCGCGTTAAAGTACTCAGTCAGGTTGCGCTGTGGAAACAAATGCGTGATGGTCGAGTTTCCGTCTCAATGGTGAAGCGTAAATAGACCAACGCATGAATTACATCGGCAGAAGATTGGCCCACAGCATAGATTACGTTGAACAACGGGACAGGGTTACGTGGAAACGCAAACTCCGAGTTCACTTACGTCTTGCGGTATGCATGGAAGACTGTAGTGATCGTTGGAAGTTGCTGAGAAGACCTGAAAACACAATACACATCGGATGTCAATGTTTCCCACACGCGCGTTTAAAACGGCAATGTAAAACACAAATTCACGGACCTACAATGTTTATACCGGTTGCAGTCCTGGCCATGAATCAGTGTCGTATGCAGTGCGTGTGCCTTTGCAAACATCAGTTATTTACTCTCCAAGTAGGCTCTTAAGCAGGCGGCTGACGACCCGTCGCTGCCTGCTAAGACGACCTACACAACAACACTGTGTCATCCCTCAACACCGCGGTTACACAAAACACGAAGGTGAACCAAGCGGACACAAGTCTAGAACCATCTACACCGGCATTCGCAAACGTCTGGGGCACCTGCCGGCGGATTTTCGGCGCGTCGACTGCAAATGGTCAGGCGGCCTGGGGCTCTCCCTGCTCCGGTGGTCCCACCAAACACTCACAGGAAGTCGAAGTGACAGTTAACCCAAAGGGAGGGGGGGGCAGCCTGACACGGGCTTTGCAGGTCATGCCCGAGCTGACCTGCAGCGTGAGTTCTGGCCGAGCGTTTTGACCGATAGGATCGGCCGCAGGCACCATCCGGGAAGGTGGTACGGTCCCAAGACAACCGTAGGGTGTTGGCACCGCTCACAGCGCATCTCTGAACGCCGTTACGACTGCTCGGCGCACGTTTACTTGGATTTGACAGACAGCTATTTCCGCAAATGGCTTCTCAACTGCCAGAAAAATTACAACAAAAGACCCAAGTGAAAACAGCTCGGGCGTACAGGCGAAATGGGTCAGGGAGCTTTTGAACCTTTATCTTGACATTTCGAGGACAAGAGATGAGTTCGAAAAGTTTGGAGGGCAGGAAAAGGAAAATACAGCTTAACCGAAATGAACGGGTAAGACCGCAATGTCCCGCACATCAACGACGAATTCATCGTCTGCGTTCAAAAGAACAAACTTCAAGTAACAATCACCAACTGTATAGGCTAAGGACTCCGTGTGATAGTTGCACGAGTCCTGCGGCCAATGACAGGCGGGCGTCACGTGAGCACGCAGTGACAACGTCAGGAGGCCGGATTACAGATTACATGGCTGAGATCCCTGGGACCTGAACACTGCACCACACACTCCGCCTTTTATCTCTGGGGAAAATAATGGTGTGTACCGTTAGTCCTAAAAGTCACTCGTGAACTGAGTGTAACGACGCCACACTGTGATCACGATGACCATGCGCCAGGTTTTATCTTGACGGCGCCTCGGGCCGGACGGTACACAGCGTACAGCCAGGTGCGCTGACGGCGGCCGAAGTGGGGCGCATTGCTACCGTTGTTACCCCAAAACGCAAGAGTGAGGTGTGTGTTCTGTCCAAAGGCTCCCCCTGACGGCCACCACCTCTGATGGCCACATGACCGGCCGCCAGCGCCGGGCCCCGCGTCCGTGGCCCGGACCGCGTGCTGCCCTCCAGCGGCCCCTCGGCTCACCTTGCCCGTCGGCAGCGGCACGGTGACCGGGCCGCCTCGGTCCGGCACGGCGCCGCCGTGCAGCGCCTGCAGACACGTCCACAGCTGGCCCTGGTCGTCCGACAACGTCAGCTCCGACAAACAGTCCAGCAGTCTGGGGAGCAGAGGCGGCTCAGCAGGCTGGCGAGAGGACGGACGGGTAGTTTGGCAGTCTGGGGAGCGGAACCCGCAGGTGACAGATGTTTTGGCAGTCTGGGAGGATAGGCAGTGCAGTAGTTTGGGAAGTGAGAATGACAGGCAGTCATAACCGGGGAAGGACCAGCAGTCATCAGTCTGGGGAAAACGAGCGCTTTAGTAGTCTGAGAAGGACATGTGGCTTCAGCAGTCTGGACAGGACGAGCGATTAAGCAGTCTAGGGACTACGAGCCGTTCAGCAGACTGGGGAAGGAAGGCAATGCTGTAGTCTGGGGACGACAGGCAGTTCAGCAGTCGGGGAAGACGACCAGTCAGCAGTCTAGGGAGTGGAGGCAACGGGCAGTTCGGTAGTATGTAGGGGACATGCAGGTCGGCAGTAATGGGGAGGACAGGCGGCCTAGGAAGTCTCGGGGAGGACAGGCGACCCAGGAGTCTGGGGAGGACAGGCGGTTCAGCAGTTCGTGGACAGGCAGACGAGAAACCTATGGAGGACAGGCAGTCCAGCACTCTGAGGAGCCACAATGACGGATATTTCATCAGCCCGAGATGAACGCCAATTCGAATAGGCGACCACTCGCAATGTCCGTGCACCTCAGCTATCATTCATGAAACACACGAAAAATTGTGATGCAAACATGACATTAAACTGAGTAATGATAATCTCGCTCGGTATGAACAAACACAAATCGCCTCATTCCGTATGGGTAATTGTCTAAAGTGACAGGCCACTGTGGCGCAATGACTACATTTCCCGTACCCGTAGGACGACCAAAAAGGTCTGCAAACCAAACTAATAGGAAGGGAGTCAGATCGCACACATCGTCCATAGTCCATCGCGCCTACCGCAGCTTTGCCAAGGACGACTGGGACCTGACCCCAGCATGACCCGTGAGGTGAGGTGGGGGCTCCCTGGCAGCTGACCTGGCCCCCTCTATCGGCCCGGGACTCACTTGAAAAACGCGTCGTGCCACGGGAACGCGCTGAGCAGAACCAGGGCCGTCTGCTTCTGAGGCGCGTGCCGGCAAAACCCGAACGTCCACTTCGAGTCCACATTAGTCAGGACGAACGAGAAGTGCTGTACCGTGCTCCTGACCACAGCCACGCAGCCGGATTAGATGCCATCGCACCATCGGCCAGGGCGAGGGGAGGGGGAGGGGGCATGTCGGCGTCGCACAGCAGGGCCGTCAGAAGCACAGATGAGTACGGCAGAGGGGTGTGGCGGACGAGTCACAGAGCGCAGCGGCGACAGGTGGGGTCACTCTGGCGGACGTTTCAGACGGCCGAGCGATATCGGTCGCGACTCCGCGACCTACAAGTCGGGCGCATCGGAGGTGATGGTCACAGACGGCCGAGACAGAGGTGCCGTACGTCACGACGGTGACAGTGGCCTGCTGGCGGCGACTCTCGCTCAGATACCTAGATGCGTCGGCAATGTAATGTTTGCATCGACCTTTGTAACGGCTCAGCCGACCGCTAGACGGCGGAGGCCAACCCAGCGAGGAGAAGGCCGGCCGGGGCGTGCCGAAATGTTCGACGTCACGACACACCTAGCATTTTACGTCCGTCGCGTCATCTGGCGTGACGATATGGCTCAGCACAGACTGAATGCAAAACACTCGAATTGGAGGTTGGGCTAAGGACACACCACGTTATTTGCGGATGCTACATTAAAGATGAATAGTCACAATTTCAACTCCAGTAACAGCGTGATGATGTCAAAGCATAAGTGCTATTTTGCCATGCCATCTTGCCGCTGTGTGATATCATTGCCGAAAACCGCCACGAAAACGCAGTGCACATGCAGTCCGCGATTCAAAAGACATATAAGTGCTTAATGTGCGTGCGGACGTGCCTCGTATTGGTCACTGAGAGGTTTTGGTGGTTGGTGGTCACCGTTTCCGCGGTGTACTGCATAAATTGGCACGCCATAGTCGCTTACGAGCTGGGTATATGTCCATCTCACTGAAAAACCTGTGTTGCCAGATGTGAGACTACTTTAATATTTTTCTGTTGACCTGGCATGTGACATCATAAGTGAATGCCAGGTCATCTGTTTCACCTCCATGAAAGTACTCAGCTGCATGCCACCACTGCGGGTGGTTAATCGGTAACGCAGGTACGGAATGCGGCGAGCCCCAGCAAGCCGCGTGGGTGAGCACGCCCCAGCGCTTGATGAATTGAAAAGAACATGGCAGAGGCAGCACGGTGCACGACACAGAACATGGCAGAGGCAGCACGGTGCACGACACAGAACATGGCAGAGGCAGCACGGTGCACGACACAGAACATGGCAGAGGCGGCACGGTGCACGACACGGAACATGGCAGAGGCAGCACGGTGCACGACACAGAACATGGCAGAGGCAGCACGGTGCACGACACAGAACATGGCAGAGGCAGCACGGTGCGCGACACAGAACATGGCAGAGGCAGCGCGGTGCACGACACAGAACATGGCAGAGGCAGCGCGGTGCACGACACAGAACATGGCAGAGGCAGCGCGGTGCACGACACAGAACATGGCAGAGGCGGCACGGCGCACGACACCGAACATGGCAGAGGCAGCACGGTGCACAATACAGAACATGGCAGAGGCAGCACAGTGCACGACACAGAACATGGCAGAGGCAGCACAGTGCACGACACAGAACTGGCAGAGGCAGCACGGCGCACGACACAGAACATGGCAGAGGCAGCATGGTGCACGACACAGAACATGGCAGAGGCAGCACGGTGCACGACACAGAACATGGCAGAGGCAGCACGGTGCACGACACAGAACATGGCAGAGGCAGCACGGTGCACGACACAGAACATGGCAGAGGCAGCAGCAGGTTAGGTTAGGTTAGGTTAGGTTAGGTTAGATTAGGTTAGGTTAGGTTAGTTAGGTTAGGTTAGGTTAGGTTAGGCGCACGACACATACCGTTCAAACTCGCATGGAAACGTGAACTGAGGCACCATCTTGAGGGTTTCTTCATTTTGGTACGAGTCCGGAAACTTCTGAATGATCCACGGCTTCTCCTCAGCGTTGGATGGGATGACCACCTCGCAGAAACAATCAAAAACGTGTTGTGCATTGTCCCTGGAACATGCAAAGAATGTTGCAGGATTGTAATATTGCAACATGATATTCGAATTATCCTTATATTACAATGAGGAGGTTTATGATCGTATGATTTCTATTCATACTCCCTTTTGATGCTACAGCCCTGTAACAACATAATCCATGCAATATCGACGGAATCCATGATGCTGAGCCCATTATTTTTCTAGCGCACTAGCCTTCCATTCAAAACATATATGACCATATGAATAATTGTGATGAAAGCTACCCAAATTCCTGTAACGATATCCTGGGTAAGGATGTTGTTTAAGAAATAAGAAACATATAAGCCGCACAAAATATACACACCCGTCATTCCCTTCAGCATATTTTCACAAACAACTGAACTCACATGAAAAGCACTTGGTCTCAATGCTGACAGTTTATGCCTGCACACTTCCGGTGCAGTGCAAAACTGTGAATGGCTGGTGGAAAGTCCAATACTCAGGAGAAAACACTAGTTTGCACTTTAAAGTAACACAATGGCATTTTCCTATGCTCCATCCGACCCACGGGAATTAAACAACCTGTCACATGTCTGATGACATTCAAATCGAGAGGGATGTAATGAATGGTCAACATACACAGTTTTATGCTGGCAGAGAAAAACTATGCCTGGTGAAACCATGCTTCCCCCATCCCTCAATTGTCCACTAATACAACTTTAAACACATACTGATGCACACATGTGAGGAATAGTACTCACCGAATTCGTGACAGCATTCCGTCAGCTCACCACAGCAGAGTCAACCTAAAGCCCATACTCCTGGTCAGCATTCATTTCATGTCAGTGCTAAGGGCACATCTTGATTGTGAGTGCAGAAGAAGCGACACTGGGAGAACAAAACACATAACACCAAGATCACAGTATACATCATCACCACAAAGGTCATTTACACTCAACCAAACTTACACCACTCACCATCCACCTATCACATGTAAGTCTTAAATGGTATGCAACCAGTTGTCATTTAAACCTTCACCATGATATTGCCCAGCTACATCTGATGCCAATCACAGATCAGCTGTGATAAAGCCACAGACTATGGCCCCTTCCAACTTTAGGTCATACTCCAATGAAAGAACATCACCAATTATTAGCATTGTTAAGTTGTCTGTGCCTTGTGTGCCAACATGGTTGAACAGGTACTTGAGATTGCTGCATCACTGGTATTTCAGACTCAGAAGCCCATCAGATGCCTAGCAGGGCCAAAATGATGCACTGGGATGGAGGCCACATTAAGGATGTGAACTAAAACCACTGAAACAATCATACTGCTGTTGGTGCAGGCAGTGACAAAAGGCAGACTGCAGCCCCTACCCCGGCTCCACTGGCACCGCGCCCCTTGATATGCATCATCTCATATGTGAGGGCCACAGAATCAGTCCTACCCTTACCATTTCAGGACTGAGGTGTAAGGAGAACTGATTTTGCCTCTACAAATTCAGAACCAATGTGTAACTGGTGTGTAAAGAGAATTGATCTTGCCTATACAAATTCAGAACCAATGTGTACAGGGTTGAGGACAAAAACATCGGGTGAACATCCAGTTGTCAGCTGGTTTCATGACAAAAACAACCAAGATTATTTGGAAAAAGGGCACACTCACTGCTGGGTCCATTTCCTGCCCATAAGTGACTTAACAATAAGGCTTGTAACAAGGTTAGCTTTTACCTTGCACCTAATAACCAGGTAAATATTATTGGCTGGGAGTGCATGCATGCTGAGGTGAGTGCATGGCTTGCTTCACAGCTATGTCTACAAGATGGGCCCTTGATAAACTGCAAAGATTAAAATCCAGCATAGCATAACACATTTACAACACCACTATGGCAATGAGGTAAAAAAGGACAGCCAGTGCTGAGCATTACAGCACATTTAGCTTCCACCATAAAAGTTATGAAGTTGAAATGGGAATTTTATGGCCAGATCAGATTGAATGCCCAGATCAGGATTCACATAAAAGGTTCTACTTAGTGTCAACTCTGATCCCAGAAATCCATTCAATCAAAATGTTTGGACTTAAGTTTAAAAGATAATAAAATATAGCAATGTTGCCATTACAATGGAATGGAAGGTTATGGCAGGAAGAGTAGGTACCATGGGATCAAAACCCATACATCAGGTATCCCAGATGCATGTCACAGACAGCATCCTTAGATTCTCTGAACTTCAAAATGTGAATCACAAAGCTGATCCATTCCTGTATGAACCCAGCTACGAAGACAGAATTCTTGCTTTGAAAATGTGATGCCTGCACTACACAAAACTGAAAGAGGACTTGGCCATGATATATCAGGTCCTGTTGGAACATCTTGAGGGCCAGAACAGCAATATTAGAATGGGGCTAGTCAGACCAAACCCACAGTCAATACTGAATGTCATGAACAGGTCAAATAGACTTCCTGCTGGAGTGGTCACTTTCCTTGGTTTAAAACAGTCAACAATCAGCCAGACAAGCAGCACAACAGCTACTCAGAGGAACAGTCTTGAGCCTAGTCCACAGTAATGATAGAAGACACATTCTGTGATGGGGTTCCATATGGGAGGGACAAACATTGACCACAGCCTATCAGAGCTTTGCTCATGTTCTATTTCCATGCCCTCTTGCCTGACCCAAAGTCCTAATGATAGCTAGATCTTGATATAAGAATGAATAGCCTGCAGCTCCTGAGTTTTCAGCATTATGAGTTCAAAGTTATGCTGGGCTAAAAACCTTAAACATACCAGGAGATACAAAATGAATGGCAATGTAGTGCTAAATAGCAATTACATTGAAAATAATCAACATCAGCTGTGATACTGCTCATCCTCATGAGTGACTCTTGAGGACTTCCCTGATACTGCATATACCTCTCCTTTAATATGCTCTCTCACAAATATACCTCCCTGGTATATTGAGTTATTTACTTGGCATACAAACTTTGAACTCATAATAGCAATGAGACCAATTGTGAGATTCTCTTTCCACACCAACAAGACTTCTTGCAAACTTTGGGATGCCTGCTGTCCATGAGCCCACAACTATGACTCCCACTGGAGATAGCACAAGTTGTGAATGCCTTAATGTATTTTGATGAAGCAACAAAGGTCAGTGAAATTTGTCATAATGAGACGCAAGGAAGCTGTTTGTGACGAAAGGTATTCACTGCATATTACACCCATGGCAGAATGGCTGTTGTTTATTATTTGTTGGTCTTTTGTTGGTCATTCGCGGCCTGGCCGCCTACTTCGTACGAGTACGGCACCAGCACCGGTTCTCCACCCCAGTAAGCAGGCCACACACACATTAAACGAGCGCACTTAGGCGAAACACGGTTCCTTCGAAGGTTAAGCTGAGGAGCCCCATTACATCCGCTAAGTTCACTCACCGCCCAAGTCACGAGTATGGTCAAAGAAAATATCAAGCAGCGCCGTCTTATTGTCCTTGTTCAGGTCAGCTGAGGTGACGCACAGTGGGCGAAGCCCCTTCAGGTATTGCCTGCGCATTTTCTGTCTCCATATATGCTTCCATATCTGGTGAAAGTTTTTAGCTAGTGTAAGATTCTGTTTGATATTGGCGACCGCAGGCTGCTGTACTTGGCTGCAGCGCTGTGGGTTGGCATTGTGACCAATTGGCTTCCAGGTAAATCGTTTGTTGCCTACCATGCCCGTCTTTTTGGCAGTGCAGCTGCTGAAGGTAACCGGTTCAAAGCAACGCTATTTCATGCTGCCGTTGGATACCATAGCAACGTACTATACGAGTGAATGTTGATTTGCTTGGACCGGGCCGAGCGAGATATTGGAGCGAGTGCATCGAGCAAGTGAAATCAGACGGATTGAAGTCGGGGTGAGTCGGTGCCAGGGGAAGAGGTTGGGCCAAATCACATATATACTTGACGGCTCTGGATGGTGATCTGTGTTTGCATGCTTGCATTTCACAATGTGAGGTGTATAGAATGCTTTCAATGTGCAGGTATGGGGTCGGTTGGATTGCAGGATTGAAGTATTTGAATTGCTGTCCATTTTAGGAAATCACAGGGATTTACGATCCGATGGGTAAAAGGGAAATTGATCATGGCTTAGATCACATAAGATGCCAGTACAGACCAGTTACACAATTTGCCAGTGATTCTGGATTGCAATTTCTTATTGGGCAAGGTCTTCTTACATTCATGTCATTGAGAAGACAGGTTTTTGAAGTGCTGTTGGTATGATCAACTTAACTTTATTGGCAGTGACATGGTCTGACACCTCAGACTGTGTGCATTCCTGAAATGTTTCTGTCTTGCCAACTGGATTATTTTGAATTTAGGGCCAGTATCTGGTAACTGGTCCACAGGTAGGTTTTCAAATCCATCCAGGAAGCTAGTCTGTCAAAAATCTGCACTGTGCAGGATGTCTATACAGCATCAGTGTGCTGATCCTTATGCTTGCACACAGTAAAGTCAGTTTGGGCCAAATTGTACTGAATTGGCACACCCACATTGTGACTAATGTTTTTGAGTTTTTTGGTATAATGTTAACTTTGTAACACCACAGTCTGTTGAAACATTGGCTCTCCACATGCTAAAATTAGTGCTAACAGTGCACTTAACTCTGGGCTTGGCTGTACAAGAGATATGCTTTGAATGCTTTGTTGATGTGATGTTGCTACTATACTTGACATGCTTATGCTCATTGCATTTGGTATTTTGTAAGTATTTTGGTATAACATTGCCTTTGAAGCATAATTATCCATTGTAACCTTAATTTTCTGTGTGCTGAAATTGGTGCTAACAGTGTGCTAAACTATGAGCTCTGCTTTACAAGATAAAGGCTTTGAATGGGTTGTTGCTGTGATGCTGCTGCTATGCCAGAGATGTTAACATTTATTGGAATATGTCTTTTTGCAACTTTGCCAGTGGTAGGTATCCTGTGACCAAAGCTGCCCCTTAGTTCTGTGAGAAAAATAGAAATCATCAAAATGGTCAAAAGCCTCAAAACTGTTGACAGTGAATGACAGCATAAGTGACATTTTTTGCAGTTGATCAAAATTGTGTTTTGAGTCTTCTTGCTACTTGTAATTTGCCACTGATAATTAATACAGCTTTGGGGATAGGACTAGATTTAGGAGCAATGCATGACAGTTTGAAAGAGGTGGTAGCAAAAGCTTTCACAAATGCTGTTTGCTGAAATCTAGAGTCCCATGAATTTGCTCTTTATGGACAATTGTGGACATTGTGTTTAAAAGGATGTTGATTTACACATCACAGTAAAAGAAAGTGACCCCAATATGCTTTGCACACGCTTCAACACGCGCTTCATTTCTTTCAACTCCCGAAACCTCTTCAAAATTACAGATGCAGGCGATCAAATAACACGATTGAAGTAAATGCTGGTTATGTTTATTTCAATACTAAAAAATAAGATGTGATAGTTTTATAAAATCAATTCACTTGGGCTATGTTATACCAATGACTTCAACTACAATGTTGTTTGAAAATGCCTGCGTTGTGAAAAAACCTTGAAGGATATTCTGGGACACTTTGCTGAGCGATTTGGCAGAAATGTGGTCCAAATGCGCAAGATTTCTTTGGAAAGTTGACATTTAACCCCAGTGAAGCAGATTTTGGCTAAGCGTGTGATTAAATAACGCTAAAAATTGTGCAGGTGTTGCGTCGTTTCATTGCAATTTCAGGTCCACGGCAGAATTTGGTGGCAAAAGCTTGAGTGGCCGCAAGGCACTCCACGGCCAGGCTTGCCACGTGACGTCATCTGACCTTTAGCGCGGTTGCCGCCACCGGCCGCAGACCATGCCTGTCAGAGGCATATAGCGAGCGTCGAAGCGACGCAAGCCTACCCCGCCACGGGTGGGTGGATTGAAAGGCAGGTTTTGTAACTAACTGAGCCGTCAGACGGACTTCAAGTGTGTTTGCTGTAGCGCCGTTACGTTTTAGCACGCCGCCCATGCAGCCTGAAGAGGCCCTCTCCCATTCATGTCTTCCCTCTTTTGAAGCTTTTAACACTTTTTCCGTGTTACGCGAGGCCACATATACCAATCCCACGGGGGCACTCAGGGTTGGCGCCACCAGGGGGACAACGGGGTAACTGCCCTTTTCCATTTTTATAGGAAGCTAATAAATCCCCCGGTCCGTCCTCCGCAATGTGAGGCGCAACGCGTGGGGACCCATCCTTGAAGTTGTCAAGCTTCATGGTCTTCTCAAGATCCTGCCCCTCCGGTTCAGCCACAGCTGGAGCCAGTGCCAGCGCGCGTCAGGGGCTGAAAACCTGCTTCGCTTAATGGTGACACAAATAGGGATGGACGCAGCAGCAGCGTGCCACGTGCATTACCTTTGCCTGGATCGGGTGGATCCAGCTCACGCCGCAGTTGCCTTCGTTCGTCGAAACGCACCACGTCAGGGAACGTTTGACTGTGTTTTGGAACACATCATGAGTAGCGTTGGTGCAGACTTGGAAGGGGATAGGTGACCTGTGTGAATCTGAATTATCGTGTCGTCTGGATAGTTTTATCGTCACCGTAATAAATGGCCAAAATTACCCTGCTATTATTTTTGTTTCATAAGCAAACTAAAAACTTGTGGTAATCGGACGTCAAGGCAGGTTCATGTCGTAGCTGCGGGCTAAATATACATGAAATGTCCCCCGTGCAACTTCTCCCACTAAGCATAAACACGTTTATACACTGATACGTTATTTGGCCAACTGGTCTAGAAGATAATATGCACCGTGCTAAGGAGAGGTTGCCGAACTGCTATAGTAGAATTTTCGACGGCGTGGGGCAGCGGACATCATACGACGTTGGGAGGGAGAGGGGATGATATGCATTTGGATAATATTATCTTTCCAGTCCATACTCTCCTGGCCAATGCCAAAGTATTCAAAAAAGTTTTGCGTCTCAGCCTCTGCCACCATCCACGGTTCCCGCGCCCCATGCTCTTCGGTGTTGTAGCGCAAGGCACATGTGGAGTTCGCAAAGCAGTGATGATTACGAGAACGCCAGCTATTAAACGACTGACGTCGCACCCATTTTTCATTCACGTGTTGTTATGATGATTTTACGACATTGTCACCCCCCGCATCGTTATAAAAAAATTCGTGGCGCCGCAACTGCGAGTAACCTGGATCTCGATAGGACCTCTTTCTGGTCGTTTTAAGGATGTGATCAGTTGATCCATATAATCCAGGTTTTGCGTGATTTCCTTTGTTTGAGAGAGCTTTCCCGAATAACCGGGGACACTAAATGGCCGCGTTCCTTTTTTTGTGTTAAGTTTTTGCGTGACCAAGTTGTCTACTTCACCCACCATATCCAAACTTCCTGTTATGAATGGTGTTCTGCTGTCCAGCCGGACAATTTAGGCCGTGGAGTCACACCCGCCAGCCCCCTCAGCTTAATTGCACCCCACCTCTATTGAGATCAGTGTTAAACTTTTCCGACATCTGGGTGGAAAATGACACCTTGCCATTGTCTTTTATGCATCCTCATACTTTCTTTTCTTTCATCCTCTCCACCACAAAACCAGTCAAATTAATGAACTTTTTCTGAGCGCACCATTTACTGTCATTCAGAGCTTAACGAAGCATTTGGTCTATGTTACATTTCCGACCTGTGGTATGGATGATGTTGGCATCACGTGGTGCATTCAATAGCTGCAATCTGACTTTATGTTTCAGGTGACCCAACGGAAGAACTGGGGCCCATCCTTCATCATATCCTGCATCCGGCAAAATGCCATCTACCAGAAATGGAGAAGACGATGCCTATTCTCTGGAACTATCATACTGAGCGTCCTGCATGTCTCATCCTGTCTGTATTTGACCTGACCTGGGTCTGTGCATCATAATACAATCCCGAGGCCCATATGTATCCTTTAGTTCATAGTGAATTGAAGTGAGCCACATGCCTACAGAATGTGTATTATAGGCTCACACACAAAAACATGCTAGAACTGAACAATATTTGATGACAATAATGCAGCAGGCACTGACAGCTTCCATCAGCATGGAATGAGGCTGGGAGCTGCAATTTACAGGCTAATGGCATATCCAACGGCATTGAAATGTTCTATTACACCACGCCGTCATGGGTCATGGGGACATTCACACCACAAGGTAATGATGACAGGAGTGCTAATTATTCGGAGACAATTGCAGGCAGTCGGAATGTCATATAACCACAGATGCCGCTCTGATCAGACGCACCGGTCTAGTTCTAACATGTCTTGATTAGTCCACAACCCGTCGATCTCCAGCCACCCTCAAACCAAGATAAGATACAAAAATAAACAACTCAGGATCGTAACACGAGCACCAGATTAGCCCCTTATAGCGTTATCCTCGCCGGAAGCGAGATTGCG